TGCCCCCGCCTCATTCCGATAACCATGCTTTTGCTTCTGTAAACTTGCTTTTTGCTCTTCCCTATAAAAAACCCGCCCTCCAGTTGGCAGGCGCGCAAGTCCTCCGAAAGACTTGCCGCCCGCAGGTACCTGTGTTTACCCAATAAACCTCTTGCGATTTGCATCCGTATGGCCTCGGCCTGTTCCTTGGCAGCGGGGAGGTCTCCTCCTGAGAGAAAGTCCTCTTCGAGGGTCTTTCACTATCTATCATCTATTCTTGCTAAGGACTAAATTCAGAACCTTGAACATTACTACCAAGTCACTTTTCTAGCCCCCCTTTTCCCTCTGTGCTACTCTCAAGGCTGGCTTCAAAGTCCTGATTTTACTTTAAATGAAAAGAAGGAAGGAAGGAAGGAAGGAAGGAAGGAAGGAAGGAAGGAAGGAAGGAAGGAAGGAAGGAAGTGTTCCATTTTCTATTTCTATGGTGCATGAGTAGCGGTCAGAGAATAACTTGTGGGGGCTGGTTCTCTCCTTCCTCCATGGGGGTCTCAGGGGTCAAACTCAGGTTGCCAGGCTTGGCAGCAATGAATTTACCCATTGAGCCACCTCACTTGCCCCTGATCCTTAGCCCTCTCTCTCCCTCATGCTGGGATCTCAGGCCTGTGCCGCCAGCCCAGCTATCTTTTGTAGACTGCACTTACTTTGCAGTACTGGATCCTATATTGCAGGACCTCCTGCAAGCTAGGCAAGTGTTCTACCATGGAGCTATAACCCCAGCCTTAAAAAGTCCTTTTGCCATGAGCTCTCTCTAGTTTGTCCAGACTGGTCTTAACTCACGCTGTAGTCTAGACACGTGATCTCCAGCCTCAATCGCCAAGCTGGCTTACCCTTCTTCAAACACTACGGGAACCAGAAAGGCAGGCAGGCATTCTGGGCCAGTACCTAAGACACAGAGGCCCTGCCATAGGAGTGGATCACAGAAGGAAAGAACGTGCTCCAGGAGTTCGAATGGCACGTTACATACGAAACAACTTCGCACTAATCCTCTGGCAGGAAGTGAACACTAACAACACAGCAATGTTTAGAAAGTTTGTTTAGTAATTTTTTTGTTTCTTTTGAGTCAGGGTCTCAACACAAAGCCCTGGCTGTCCTAGAACTCACTCTGTAGACCAAGCTAGCCTTGAAATCACAAAGAGCTGCCTGCCTCGGCCTCTGTGCTGGGATTAAAGGTGTGCACACCAGTAACTTGTTAGTTCTCAGCCTGCAGGACCTTCTTGCTAAACTATCTTACCTCCCCCTTGTGGCAATCCTGGGAAGTGCGGTACTCCTTCCCATCTGGCAGAAAAAAAGCTGAGTCTCAGAACCACCCCCCACCACTCCACCCCACCCCGACCCAAGACAAGGTTTCTCTGTGTAGCTCCTCTAGCTATCCTGAACTCACTCTGTAGACCAGGCTGGCCTCGAACTCACAGATCCACCTATCTCTGCTTCCCAAGGTGTGTACCACCATCGCCCGGCTAATCTCAGAGATCTTTTTCTTAGGGTTACCATTGATCCAGGGACTTGAATCCACACTTGGCTCCCAGCCTAGCCCCTTTCTCTTGCATACTTCCTGGGATCTATAGTAAGCAGTGCTAATATATCGCTACGCTGTAAGTCAGCAACCCCTCCTTCCAGCTAGACGCCAGCTCTCAAAAGAAAGTACAAACTGGGCACCAAGGGTTCAAACACATGAGGTTGTGAGGGATGTTTTTCAGTCAGATCATAACAATGGCTATCAACACATCTTTGAGCATGGGTAAAAGGTCAGAAAGATGGAAACTTGCAGAAGTCCAGAGCGAAGGTCGTTCTCAGGCTGCTTGCCATGCTCCGCTGCCCGTCTGGATGGCACTGTGTGCCGGGGCCTCCAGTTTCCTGCCGCTTCCCTGTACACAGCACCGCGCTCCTCCTAAGGAGCTGGCTGACACTGGTCATCACTGTGGAGGCCTCGCTCGTGGCACAAAGATGAGGACTAGAGTTTGGAGTCCACCACTCCTGTCAAACACTCAAATTCATGATTCTCCTGCCTCAACCTCTTATTCTGAGAAATAAGACAACATGAGACAGGAAAGTGAGTTAAAGGCAACACCGTGCTTTTGTCTTTTTCTGAAAAACCAGGAGAACCCTGCCTGGTTCAACCCTTCACCGAGTAGAACTTACCTGCAATTCCACAACCGAACGGTAGGTGGCACTGGCCACCACCATTTTCCCATTCCCTCTCATCATGAAAGGGTCTGAACGTCTTTTGAAAACATGCAAATTCTTAACTACCTTAAATTTAAGAAATCTTAATTTTTCTTCTTTGAAACCCAGGTATATTTTATGTTTTTTAAAAAAATTATTTTGGAGAGCTGGGCAGTGGTGGTGCACACCTTTAATCCCAGCACTTGGGAGGCAGAGGCAGGTGGATCTCTGTGAGTTCAAGGCCAGCCTGGTCTACAAAGCAAGTACCAGGACAGGCACCAAGGCTACAGAGAAACCCTATCTTGAAATTTTTTTTTAAGTTTTAAATGTACTGTTTGTGTGTATTGCCTCCATGTATCCATGCATACCATGTGCATGTATCAGACTACGGAGTCTCAGACACCCTGGGACTGGAGTTCTAGATTGTGAGCCTAGAAACCAAACCCAGACCTGCTGCAAATAGCAGCAAGTGCTACTAATTACAGGGCCATCTCTCCAGCCCCACCCCCAGTTGTGATCTTATTTTAGGGTATTGGTCTTTTGCCTGCATGTATCTTAAACACTACTTGTATGAAAAGCTCACATAGGTCAGAAGAGGGCATTAAATCCTATGGAACTGGAGCTGGAACTAGAAACTGAACCCAAATCCTCTAGCAAAAACCCCCTTTTGGATTTTGAGACAAGGTCTTGCTATGTAGCCCTAGCTGGCCTAAAAAACTCAGTCTTCCTGCCAACTGCTAGACATACAGGCATTTATCATCATACCTAGCTGAAAAGCTTCCTTTCTCTTCCCACCCATGAGTCCTGGGGGTTGAATTCAGGTCATCAGGCTGTGCAGCTTTTCCTGGCCCTGAAAGGTTTTACCTTTTCTATTTTAACTTATTTAAATGTATGTACATACACATACTACACACACACACACTTTAAAAATCTTGTGTATTCTTGAACGCGCTAGCACAGGGAACCACTTCCTAAATAGAACCCCAGCAGCATAGACACACTGAGAGAAACAATCAATAAATGGGACCTCCTGAAACTGAAAAGCATAGGACACAGTCAATAAGACAAAACAACAGCCTACAGAATAGGGAAAGATCTTCACTAACCCCACATCAGAAAGAGGTCTGATCTCCAAAATATACAAAGAACTCAAGAAATCAGACACCAAAAGAACACATAATCCAATTTTTAAAAAAATGGAATACAGGGGGCTGGAGAGACGGCTCAGAGGTTAAGAGCAGTGCCTGCTCTTCCAAAGGTCCTGAGTTCAATTCCCAGCAACCACATGGTGGCTCACAACCATCTGTAATGAGGTCTGGTGCCCTCTTCTGGCCAGCAGGCATACACACAGACACAACATTGTATACATAATAAATAAATATTTAAAAAAAAAATGGAATACAGACCTAAACAGAGAACTCCCCACAGAGGAATCTAAAATGGCTGAAAGACACTTAAGGAAACGTTCAACATCCTTAGTCATCAGAGAAATGCAAATCAAAACAACTCTGAGATCTTAAACCAAGAATAGCCAAGATCAAAAACATTGATGACAACTTATGCTGGAGAAGTTGTGGGGTAAAAGGAACACTCCTGCATTGCTGGTGGGAGTGCAAGCTGGTACAACCCCTTTGGATGTCAGTGTGGCGATTTCTCAGAAAATTAGGAAACAACCTTCCTCAAGACCCAGTAATACCACTTTTGGGTATATACCCAAAGGATGCTCAATCATGCCACAAGGACATGTGCTCAACTCTGTTTATAGCAGCTTTGTCATAGCCAGAACCTGAAAACAACCTAAATGCCCCTCAACCGAAGAACGGACAAGGAAAATGTGGTACATTTACACAGTGGAGTACTACACAGCAGAAAAAAATAACTACAGCTTGAATTTTGCAAGAAAATGGATGGAACTAGAAACATTACTTTGAGTGAGGTAACCCAAACCCAGAAAGACAATTATCACATGTACTCACTCATAGGTGTTTTTAAACATAAAGCAAAGAAAGCCAGCCTACAAACCACAATCCCAGAGAACTTAAGACAACAATGCAGACACTAAGAGACACATAGATCTAATCTACATGGAAAATAGAAAAAGACAAGATCTCCTGAGTAAATTGAGAACATGGGGACCTTGGAGGATTGAAGGGGGGAGAGGAAAGGCAGAGAGGAGAGCAAAGAAAAATGTAGAGTTTAATAAATGTCAAAAAATAAATAAAAATCTTGTGTATTACCCATATGTATAGCCATGTACCACGTGTGTGCCTAGTGCCCAGAGACCAGAAGAGAGGGTCAGGTTCCCAGGAACTGAAGTTAGGCAGTTGTGAGCCCCAGTGTTGGTACTAGAATCAAATGTGAGTTCTCTGGAAGAGTAGCCAGAGCTGTCTTTTGAGGCAGGGTTTCTCTGTATAGCCATGGCTGTCCTGAACCTCACTCTGTAGACCAGGCTGGCCTCTGCCTTCCGAGTGCTATTTTCTGTATCTCAGTGGAGGGAGGTGAAGTGGGGAAGCAGGGTGTGACCTCCTGAGTTCTAGACACTGCTTCCCCCTGTGATAGGTTCCCAGAGGGTATCGGCCCCTCAGCTGGCCCTACAGGCTTAGTGATCTCTCAGAATCCCCACAGGTGCTCACAGTTTTGATGCATGTGCGCACACACTAAACTGACATCTCGGTCTTCTAGTGATAATCTGGTCAAGTCACATAAAGCCAACATTGGTATCACCTCCTCCATGTCCTGACTACTTGGTATCTGTGTGAAGGAGTACTGGGCGCTGTAAGAACAATGAGCAGTCGATGTAAACGAACTATCCTTTAATAGAAGGAAACTTCTGAGTTTGATCAATACACCGCAGTTATGTAAATGACCCTCCTTTCCCCAGGAAGATGCACACTTTACACAGATGTGGATTCATGATCTGGATGAAGAGCTTTTTTGTTTTGGGTGAAAAAAAAGTTAAAAATTTTATTGTAGAATCATTCAAGCAAAAAATAATCTATATGGTTGGTTCTCAGGCATATGTCGTGTTTGCATCCATGTCCACCAAAGATACGAGAACTTAAATGCACCTGAGCTGGCCATCAGTTCATTAGAAAAAGATTCCATTTGAATAGTTCTTCCTTTGAGTTCAAGGTTTGCTCCAGGGCACCCCTCCCTCTCCTTCAAGTTTCCCTTCCCATGGCCGAGCCTGGGCTCTGGATGCTCACAGGCAGCGCAGCCACGTTGCACTGCAGCCCCACACAGCGCAGTCTCAGGAGGTCCAGAGAAGCCAGGCCTGCTTCTGTGTAGCTGGTCTGCAGACCAGACACCGGGGATGGTACTCCAGGCATCCCCAGCAGCCAGCTGCAGTCTGTTTGCCTGCAGGGCTTGCAATATCACCTTTTCTTTACAAACTTCTTTCTGGAAGCATTGGGATTTAAGCGTCTCCGTCCAGCTCCTAAGGTGCTGTCCCGGACCTGCAGGGTGGCTGAGCGGCTGGAGATGTCATTTTCCGCAAAGGGAGACACCCCAGCTATGTAGTCAGGGGCAAACACATTGGTCTTCTGCCTGGCCTTGTAGGAGAGTCGCAGCTGGGGGAAGCGCTGATCCTCAGTCAGATGGGGGTTGACGGCGTATTTGCCACCTTTGGGAGCAGGCAGCGAGTACTGCAGTAAGAGAAAATGCTGTCAGGACAGGGACTCTGCTCACACAGCTCCAGTGCTGTCTACTGAAGTGTCCCTCACATCCTCATCCTGGCAGACAACTGTCTTGCCCACTGTGTGCTAACAAGACACGTGTTTGTCACATCAAGCTTACCTCAACTGACAGATGAAAACCTGAAGGAGCATCTTAACTACACTCTCAGCTAAAGACAAATGGACAGGTCTTCACTACTGGGCTACCTCTCCAGGATCCCCTCCATCTTTTGGTAACAGAGTTTTACTCTGTAGCCATATGGGCCTCCAACCTTGTAGAAAGTCTCCTGCCTCAGCTCCTTGAATGCCAGAATTACAGGCATGAGCCACTATAGCTGGCTCTTCTTTCTTTCTTGATCGATTCACACAAACCCAGGACTCTCCTGTGCTCACCTTCAGCTGCTTCACGGAGCTCAGATCTTTTAAGCACCCTTTCTTTAAACTCCTGTACAAATCTGGCCTCTACTGTGTTCCAGGTAAGCGTGGCTGAGCTCTGCCGTCCCCAAGTCAAGTGGCCACCACTGAGCACTCACTGCCCAGAATCACTGCTTGTTTCTCCTTCTCCAAAGCCTTAGGGAGGCTGGAGAATTGGCTCAGGTTAAGAGTTCTGGCTGCCAATTCCAAGCCACCACATAGTGGATTTCAGCCATCTATAAAGAAATTCGGTGCCCTCTTCTGGTCTGCAGGCAGACCCTACACATAATAAAATAAGTAAATCATTTTTTCAAAATAAAAAGGTGGGGGGTGAAACATACAGGTGTCTTGTTTCACACCCTTCTTCCTGCCTGTACACTGAGACCACGGGCTCCTGATTCCACCAGTGGGGTGACTAGGCTGGCTCTCCTTTTGTCCTCTGGTCTTTTGAAACTGGGTAGCAGCCAAAGCTGGCCTTGAACTCTTGCTCTTCCTGCCTCCACCCCAGTGCTGGGATCCCATAGTGCATCACTCTCCCGAGTTCTCCCTTGGTCATTGATTCTGAGGTTGTCGGGGGAAATGCCACCTACCCGGAGACCGCGAGGGTTCAGCACCTTGGGGTTCCGGGAGAAATGCATGTGCAAGGTACCGTCGTCATTGACAGTCACTGCCACTTTCTTCAGGGTCTTGTTCCCACAGTGCCCACAGAACACTCGATTCATGTCCGATGTTGTCCTGGGAAACACAAAAGAAAGGGCTGCAAATGGGCACTGTGGGCAGGAGCCCCTACCACCAGCCTCAAAATAGAAAATGACAGGAAATGCAGAAAAAGCTAAATTTTGTTAGACCCATCTTCCAAAACAAAAGCTGCTAGCCTCATTATAAAGGGAGATGCAGCCAAGGGCCACTGCCTTCCTTAGCAGAATCTCATCAAGAGTCCTTCAGGCCCAGCAAAACCCCCCAGTGCTTCAGCACCATCCCACACAAGGCCTCTGCAAAGCTGGGCTCTGCCAGCCAGATGACCTAGAAGACGTCCACAGAATAGCGCACAGACACAGAAAGGCCATGAGCCTGCCCATAAATCCTGGGAACATATTTCCACAGCAACCAGCCCCAGGGCCTGTCCATAGAACACCGGCCCTCACAGGATACAGACTAGGGAGTAGAAGGGAGCGGTCAGGCAGCTGACAGTCCATCAGAGGGAGCATCTCCTGTGTGCCAAATACCCTGCTAAGTCCCTGTGACATCTACTCCTAATTCCTTACAGCAAATCTTTCAATTTAAAAACCATCTTAAAGAACTAAGAAGGCAGCTAACTGTTAATATCGGCACATCACTGAGGGAAGGCATCAGAAGTGAACTGTACACTCTGGGTTCAGACATAAAGCAGCCCTGACAACTAATGAATCCCCATGACTCCATCACCCAGCTTGACTCTTAGCTTACAGCTACTGTGTTTCATCTCTACCCCATGACACTTGGGAGCAAATCCCAGACCTCTCTTCTTCTACACAGCCCAGCATGTGCCACTGGAGAACAAGTGACCTCTGTCCCAGAACCCACAGCCTTAACTCTAGGCTCCTCAGAGATGTATGTGGAAAGACAGGTCACTGTAACCTGCCCCAGGGATTTCGGTGGTGGAGACAGCAGGTGGAGCACAGGGAACACCGAGATGGAAGGAAAGGGTTCCCTTCTGAGGAGCCATCAGCAGGTCCAGACCCTCAGCACGTACTTGAAGCAGCCATGACAGCGTAGGATGTAGCTCCGGGCCTCTCGGATCAGCATGCCGTTCACCGCCAGCACGTGCAGCCCCATCTGAAGCAGAACATTCTGCAACCAACAAGTTAATCAAGGACCGAAACCAACTTCTTTAACATCAATTTGGCAAAAATTTTGTACAGTTATGGAAATCCAACTTTCTCGTTTGGTTTATAATCCCTGACTGTGCTAAGGGAACACATGAGAGCCTGGCTGGGAAGACAGAGACCTGGGTTACTGGGCAACTGCAAGAACAGAGCCTGGGTTCACTGGCAAAGCCTCTCAAAAAAGACATTCTTTTTTCTCTTGGGCAAAATATTTTCATTTTGGGCTGCTAAGCCCTGCTTACTTTTTCTGCAGATCAGAAGATGGCATCAGATTGTGAGCTGTGCTGTGAGTGCTGGGAATTGAACCCAGATCCTCTGGAAGAGCAGCCAGTGGTCTTAACCACTGTGCCATCTCTCCAGTACCTAAATATTCTTTTTGTTTGTTTGTTTTCAACACAGGATTTCTCTGTGTAGCTTTGAAATCTGTTCTGGAACTCGCTATGTAGACCAGTCTGGTCTTGAACTCAGAGATCCACCTGCCTCTGCCTCTCGAGTGCTGGAATTAAAGATGTGCACCATCACCATCCTGCACCCTAAATATTCTAAAAAAAATATTGAATCCCTGTGTCTATTGTGACTGTGTGATGGGCTCCCCTCAAACAAAGTGAACCATCAAGTTTACAGAGGCTCCACACCTCTCACCCCACAGCACTGGCCCGGGTCTCCCCCACCCACCTGCATGGCGAAGTCTGTGGTCACACACCCAACCCGCACGTCCTTTGGGATGTCACACTGCTCCAACTCTTGCTGGATCTGCTTGATGTTGCTGGGGGTTATCCAACCCCCACCATCGTCATCACTGTCTTCAAATTCATTCTCCTCGTCCTCGTCCTCCTCTTCCTCCTCTTCCCTTCTGTCACTCTGAAACACCAATAGAAGGGCTCCCAGATTCAGGACTCTTAGAGGCTCTGATGTCATTAGGAGACTACAAGCCAGGGCCTTACCAGCAGCTCCTGCAGTTCATGATCAATGTTAGGCAGAGGGTTCCTCCAGAACAGGAAGGAGCTGAATTCCAGGTCCTCAGGCCCATCAGCTGGGTGGCCACAATCCACGGTTTCATGTGAGGGTTTAGGCTGAGATTAAATGAAACATCAGCTTTCAGTGCAAGGGAAAGAACCCTGGGCCTTACAGATACCAGGAAAGCACTCTTTCAGGGAGCAGAATAATTTAAAAACATGAAAGTCGATAAGTTTAGAAGTGAAACCACTGTATTCAGCTGGGTCTCGGAAGGACTAGGAAAATATGCTTCTGGCCCAGGTCAACTTGCTTTGTTACCAAGAGCTATGGCATGCTGTAGAAAAGAACCCAGGGATCAGGTTCCTGAAATGTTACCTTGGAGGGCAGATGGAAACCAGAAACGTGCAGAGGAGTTTCGGGGTGCTGAATCGAGGAGCTCACTGTAACCTTAAAAAAAACAAGTCAGCACTGAGAAATACAACATCAAGGCTAATTAAAACAAAAATCAGATCAGATCTCTCTTCTAGTTACTGAATAAAATGCTAGAAGTCGCAAGAATATACAGACAAACGACAACACTCAGACATCCTGACACCATCATTAAGTGCTCTTAGGGTGTTTGTGCCAGAACACAAACACCTGTGAGGTGAGTACGGTGACACTTGCGAGCAGTCTATGGTGAGAGCTGCAGGCTGAACGCCATGGCGCTGAATCGCTGTCACAGCATGCAGTGCTCTAAAGCTTAGTCCAGGCTGGTCCTGAACTCACTACGGATGACTCGAACTTCTCATCTTCCTGGCTCTACCTCTGAAGGCACAGGCCTGCAGCACATTGCCTGTTTACGAGGTGCTGGGGATGAAACCTAGAGGCCCTGAGCACACGATATACAACATTCTACTAACTGAGAGATAGATACAGCCATTCTAAGACTTTTGACACAGAAACAAAATACGATAAACAAAAAAGGAAGAAAATGAGTCTGTTTTAGGCTTTTAAACTGGAGGCCGCTAAACTTGACTGAAAAACAAGAGAGGGTAGCTCTGAATAGTGTTAGAACAGGAGCCGGTGTTTAGCTGTTATCCTAGCACTAGGAAAGTACAGGCAGGAGGATCAAGAGTTCAAGGCCAGTGCTAGAGATGGCGGAATAAAGAACACTAACTGCTCTTGCTGAGGACCCAAGTTTGTTTGCCAGCATCCACATGGTTGTTCATGACCACCTATAACTCCACTTCCAGGGTAGCCAAAAGCCTCTTCTGAACTCCCTGGGCATTGAATACGGACATGGTGAACATACATACACACAAGCAAACTGAACATGTAAGCAAAACACTCTTAACACACACAAAAAGCCACTTTTTGTTTTTCTTTTTTAAATGAAGCTTAAAAAACAATCCAGAGTTCAAAGTCTTCCTTGGTTATATAGCAAGTTCCGGGCTACCCTGAACTACAGAAATTCTGTTTCAAAAAAAAAAAGAATACATCTGCTAAATTTATTAAATATAATATATAAACTTCATTTGAATTTTCACCTAAACAAACAATAAATATTTACAGAATGGGAAAGTGTGGATACTGATTGGATATTTGGTGACATTAGGAGCCCATATTAATGTTATGTAAGTCCAATGATACTCTGATGTCTTGTTTTGTTTTTTGATATAGGGTAGCTCTGAAGCTTTGGTTCCCATCTTGGAACTAGTTCTTGTAGACCAGGCTGGCCTTGAACTCATAGATATCTGCCTGCCTCTGCCTCCCAATTACTGGGATTGAGGTGTGTGCTACCACTGGCTGGCTCTGAGGTTTTTTTTATGTTTGAAGCAGGCTCTAATTTAGCCCAGGTTCACCCTTACGCTCACTTTATAGACCAATCTACCCTGAACTTCTAATCCTACTGCCTCCACCTTCAGAATACTGGGATTACAGGACGTGAACTTCCACTCCCAACATACACACTGCTAGGGACGACAGTTCCCAGAATAAAAAGTACTAAGAAACAAACCCGGGTGGGAGACACGGCTCAGTGGTTAGGAGCAACTAGTGCTCAATCAAGGACTAGAGTGCGATCCTAGCACCCCTGTGTGCTGCAGGTTAAGTGGATGGCAAACACCTTAATTCCATGCCACCCTCTCCATCACCCCAAAAGCTCACACACTCAACAGATACATACATACACACAAATTTAAAAACCAAACCAAACAACCCAGTCCCCCAGATTTACCTTTTCTGGTTCTTGTTTGAGATGAGATACCCCAACAAATTCTGCTTCTAATTGGTAAGTCAGAGCCAGCACTTGGATATCTACAGCAGAGAGGCTGGGATAGTCTCCAGTTTTCTTGGAAAACTCAGTAACTGCAAGAAAACAAGAGAGTTCCAACTTTAGTTAAGGGAAAGACTGACATATCCTTGGATAATCACAGTATCAAAAAATCATATGTAGGGGCTGGAGAGATGGCTCAGCAGTTAAAGAGCACTGGCTGCTCTTCTAAGGGATCCAGGTTAAATTCTCAGCATCCACATGGTGGCTCACAAATTTCTAACTCCAGTTCGAGGGTCTGATGCCTTCTTCTGGTCTCTGAGAACACCAGGCAGACATATGGTTACTGTGAAAATGTGCTGCTCTCATTGCTAATAAAAAGCTGACTGGCCAATGGCTAGGCAGGATTTGGGGGCAGAGAGAATGCTGGGAAGAAGGACAGAGTCAGAGGAGTCAGGGCAGACGCTGAAGAAGAAACATGGAAAGTTCATAGATGATGAGGTAAGCAAGCATCAGGATAGCACACAGATGAAAATAAATGAGCTAATTTAGGTTGTAAGAACTGGCTGTAGACAAGCCTAAGCTATTGGCCGAGCATTTATAATATTAAGGCTCTGTGTGGTTATTTAGAAGACAGCTGTCTCACCAAAAACTCTGCCTACACGTGGTGCACAAACAAACATACATGCAGGCAAATCACCTATGCACATAAAACAAAACCAAGCCATGTAGAGATGGCCTAGTAAAGGCGCTTACAGTGAATCTAGCCACTTGAGTTTGATCCCTAGGATCTACTTGATGGAAAGGAAACCAATCCTCTCACCTCATTTGAACCCTGTCATGTGCACAATCGTTTTTTCAAAGAACTTAGAATCAATCTCCCATCTGGGAGTCGTGGCTCACTCCTGTTATCTTAGCACTCAGGAGATGAGGACAGGATGGTCAACTAAGTCATCCTTACACGTATAAAAGTTCAAGGCCAAGCCATGCTGAGACCTTGTTCCAAAGCACCACCACCAAATTAACCAAAGAACCAAACGAAAAAAAAAGAATCAGCATAGCACTGCATGAGAACCGCAACAACTATTTTCTGTCCTTTCCAGCCTTGTGATTAAAAAGTCTGTGTTTACCACGACCAAGCCACTCGCCAGGAAGCAACACTCATCCACTGGATCAAGGAATAGAAGCAAGGATAATACCAAAATAAATAAATAAATAAAAGATCCAAGTTAACACAGAACTTGTCCATGATAAGTGTTCCTCACTGGTTTTGGCAGAGTTAGAAGCCTCTTTTGTTTTGTGTTTAGAGACATGGTTCATCTGTGTAACAGTCCTAGCTGTCCTGGAACTTGCTTTGTAGACCAGGCTGGCCTTGTACTCACTGAGATCTGCCTGCTGCCGCCTCCCAAATGCTGGGATTAAAGGTGTGAGCCGCCACTGCCCAGCCTAGAAGCCTTTTCTTTCTTAGCTCTAAGTAAGAAGAGATGGTTGGATTTCAAAATAAAACAGAAGGTTAACTGTAATCATGGTCTATGATAAAACTCAAAGAAGGTTCTGTATAATAATGGATGGTTTTGCAAAGATTTTAAGAACTGCGCACCTATACTTCACCAAAGTAAAGGTTACTGAGGTGTGTGAGACAGTGACAAGAAACACAATAAAATTTTCTCATAGAATGTTTTCTGGTAACAATGGCATAAATAACAATAAATACACTGCTAACGTTTTCTATAAAAATGGTACTAAGAGCCAGGCAGTGCTGGCACACACCTTTAATTCCAGCAGGCAAGGAAGAGACAAGCGGATCTCCGTGAGTAAGTCAGCCTGATCTACAAGAGCTAGTTCCAGGACAGCCAGGGCTGTTACACAGAGAAACCCTGTAGAAAGGAAAGAAAGAAAGAAAGAAAGAAAGAAAGAAAGAAAGGAAGGAAGGAAGGAAGGAAGGAAGGAAGGAAGGAAGGAAGGAAGGAAGAAAGAAAGGTGTGGCGATGCATTTATTTTTGTGCTTACAAGTGATTTTTATATGTATTTGTGCACATCTGTGCACCATGTGTGTGCCTGGAGCCCTTTAAGTTCAGAAGATGGGTCAGATTCCTGGACAGATGGTTTTGAGCTGAGATATAGGTGATAGGAATTGAACCTGGGTCTTAACTGTGAGTCTGTGATCTTAACTGCTGAGCCATCTCTCCATACACACCATGGTAAGTATTCTTAATACTAGGAAGCGGGAAGCGGGAGTGGGCAACTCTGAGTTCGAGGCCAGCCTGGTTTAAGTGGTGAGTTCCAGGTCACCTGGAGGTACGTAATGAGAGGGGGGGGGGGGGAGTCGTATTACCAAGTCTACCTGGGCACCCAGCCAATTTCTCAGTACTTTTTGTTGTTGTTGTTGTTAAAAATATTAATTTGGGCTGGGCAGTGGTGGCGCACGCCTTTAATCCCAGCACTTGGGAGCCAGAAGCAGGCGGATCTCTGTGAGTTCGAGACCAGCCTGGTCTACAAGCACTAGCAGGCTCCAAAACCACAGAGAAACCCTGTCTCAAAAAACCAAAAAAAAAAAAAAAAAAAAAAAAAATTAATTTGGTGGTCAGTGATGGCACACCCCTTTGACTCCAGCACTGGGGAGCAGAGGCAGGTGGATCTGAGTTTGAGGCCAGCCTGGTCTACAGAGTGAGTTCTAAGACAGCCAGTGCTACACAAAGAAACCCTGTTTGGAAAAGAACGAAAACAACAACAACAACAACAAAAACCATTTACTTTTGTTTATACTCATGAATGCTTAGCTTGTATGGAGGCATGTGCACATGTGGATTCATTTCGTCCTCAATCACGTCCTATGAAATATTACTAGTATTTTGGAAATGAAATAATACAATAAGTTGAAGCACTTGGCAAAGGTCCCATCACTGTCAAGTTGGTGAAAACTACAGAAATCACAAACTAGCGAAGCAAGCAACAGTATGTCCACCGTGCCCTCAGTAACACTTCCCAAACCCTACCAGCCCGGATTCCTATGGAGGATGACGATCCCTAAGCTACTAGTTTTCTTTCAGACTCAATGCCAAGGTCTAAACATATCCTTTTTTCTTCTAAAAATTTATTGTTTATCTTTGAAGATGAGAGCTCACTATCTACCCTGGTTGGCTTGGAACCTCTGACTCCAAAGGGCTTGGACTAAAACCATGTGACTACACACTGGGTTCATCTTTTATTTTCAGTAAGGCTGAGTCTCACTATCTAGCTCTGGCTGGCCCAGGCAGGACCCATGATCCCAAGCCTCTGACTCCCCAGTGGTGACCGAGGCCGCTGCATGCCGTTTTCTTAACTGAGGCTAGAATCACCCTACAGATAGGACCACAGATCTATGGTCTTTAAAGCAGGCTGAACTTTAAACAGGCTCTACCCGCACTGGGGAGATCTGTCTCTACTCTGCCCAGCTCCCCAGACAGGGCTGGACTAGGGCACTCACCCAGCCGCACGTACTCCGGGAAGGGCTCCTTGAACCGCAGCTCGTAGGGCAGCACTGCCAGCCGCCTGCGCGTGGCCTTGTCCCGAATCTCTCTGACCACCTCCCGGATGGTGTAGATGTTTTTTCCTATGTCCTGCGGACAGATCGGTCTCGTTATCACACTCGCCTGACCCCGCGCGCACCCCTGGGGTTTCTCGAGCCCAGGCCCCGCGCCCCTCGGCGGGATCTCCTGTACCTGCAGCGGCGCATCCCTCAAGAAAGCCCCGGCGTCAGCCACAACGTGCTCCACAGGCGCCATGCTGGCTGCAGTGGACAGACGGCGCTTGCGCAAGGAGCCTACGTCCTTTCCCTACGTTTTCAAGGCAATCTGCCCCCGACCGGAGGAACGGCCTCTCCGATTTGGCGGCGCCCTCTGGCGGGCACAATCCGTCGCTGCAGGACTATGCGCTCCTGTGGAGCTGCGCCGTTTGCTCAGCCTGGTATTGCTAGCGTGATTAAATTTGAGGGACACCTGAGGTCACGCGACTCAGGACACACTTCATAGAGCTTTCTTTACTTTTAAAAGCAAACGCTGGCCGGGCGGTGGTAGCGCACGCCTTTAATCCCAGCACTCGGGAGGCAGAGGCAGGCGGATCTCTGGGAGTTCGAGGCCAGCCTGGTCTACAAAAGCTAGTTCCGGGACAGGCACCAAAGTTACAGAGAAACCCTGTCTCAAAAAACCAAAATAAATAAATAAACTGTTCTGTTTTTTGTTGTTTTTTTTTTTTGGGGGGGGG